AAACCTACGATTTTTATCTTCGATAAAGGTCCCATGAAGATCTAAAGATTTAAAACAAGCACTATCAAAACAGATATTTGTTCATGAAGCCTAAATCAAGATCCATGAAGAGAAGATCAAGAGAATAGGAGCACAAACACGAAAGAAATCATCTGAGAAGAAAAACAAATACAAAAGAAATAAAATACTCTCAAGCTTCATAGAATCATAAGCTTACATTTGTAAGAAGAGAGAAAATCCTACAAATTGTATTAGATTGAAGTATTATAAACACATTCTCTCTATGAGAGCAATCATCTAAAGACTTGCAAGCAATCTAATTGATTGCACATTTTAAAGAGAAAATTCAAACACTTGTTTATTTACTTGGTGGAGTTAAACGTTAGTTAGGCAGTGTCTCGGGTTGATACCGAAATTGTCTAGTGAAAACCAAGAGCAGTAAACTCAACTAACCAGCGTTCATTGTCTTGACGTACTTATCGGTGTCTAGAATACTAAGAGTGGTAAAGAATACTGCACAATCAGGGGTAGGTGATACTCATCTCTAGTCAGAGTAACGAAGGATCCTAGGATTAACTAAGTGAAATCAGGAGTGGTGCGAATACTTAGTTGTAATTGTGTGTTTATTACTAAACGTAGCTCAGAGGTCTTAGAGAAGAACTAAACGTAGCTAAGAGGTCTTAGAGAAGAACTAAACGTAGCTCAGAGAGTGAACCAGTATCAAATAATTGTGTGTTTATTACTTCAGTTTTGCAAAACATTCTACTTATAAACTCTATAGTTGTTTCATTACATAATAGTTTATAAATTGTCACTAAACACTATCTTTATTAAGAGGTTGTCTTGTCTCAAAACATTATAGTTTTTTACAAACGCTTGAGAAAATATTTTATCTCTCTGAAACTTAGAGTTTTTAACATCACTTTTACACAATTCAGTGTCTAAACTTATTGATTTGTTTAATAGTTAATAAAGGTAAGTTATTAAACTACCTTTTGGCAAAAAGTTTTCCACAACACTATTCAACCCCTTCTTATGTTTTTCAATTATTTCAAAATAAAGTTAAGTCTCATGATGTGTGTGCTTCTTTTCCGACCGAAGTGAAGAATAATATTAAATAAATAAATATTTTGTATTATAAATATGATTTATAGTATATCATAAAATATTATTCCTAATAAATTGTTAAATATAATTAATGAGGCACAATATGTGCTTGACTCTTATTAACATCTGTATGATTGATATACATAAATAAAAAATAATTTTTTTTAATTAATAAAGTATATCTTGCCGTATTAATCATATTGATTAAAGTATAACTTTTCATCAATGATATTATCCAGAATTACTTTAACAACTTCATACTGTTTTTAAATGTGACCATTATAGAAAAGGATACTTATTTTCAATATGATATGTTTCGACTGAGTCCGAGCGGACCCTGTAAACACATTTGATCTGACGGACGTTTGATGGCGAACGCTGGAGACGAGCGGATGAACGATCACGAACGCTGGGGATGGGCGGACACTTTCCTCCAATCTGATACAGACCGGGCGGACGGTGCCATGATGGGCGAACGCCGTTCCTCACTCCAGGCCGGGCGGTCGCCCTCTTGCTCCAAGCGCTGCTCCATGCTCCAAGTCGGGCGGACGTCCTCCAATCCAGACGCTCTCTCTTTGCTCCAAGCCGGGCGGACGTCCTCCAATCCGGACGCTCGCTCCACGCTCCAAACCCGGGCGGACGTCCTCCCTCCTGGCGGATGTTCTTTCGTTCTCTGCTATAAGCTGGACGGGCGTCCTTCCTTACTTAGCGCTGGGCTCCACACTCCCAGTTGGGGGAGGGGCCGGGACCTTCTAACGGCCCTCCGACCTCAGTCAGTAATATACAGAGCGATCGTGATGCATGTATCATCCTTATTCAGTTAGTCAGAGTTCATACTGAGACCTTTATTTATCGTGAAAGTAAGGCTTTTACCTTTTGGGGGCCTGGGAACGGCCCAATAATACCTTAATCTTCATTAAGGACTTTAATGTGTCATTAGCATTTAACCGTGTAATCAGCAAAGTGCATCGGTTGGGAATGATGGTCGGTCACGGATGTTACCCTAGGTGGGCGTCCAGCTTTCCGGCGGACGTCCAACTCTTGGGCGGACGTCCGATCCTTGGGCGGACGTCCAACCCTTCGGCGGACGTCCAATCTTGGGCGAACGTCTCATCTTGTGCGAACGTCCCTCTGGGCGGACGTCCATTTTTTGGCTGACCGTCCAGCTCTTGGGCGTACGTCCAATTCCTTGGGGGCTGACGTCCAATCTTGGGCGTACGTCAAAACCTTGGTCGGACGTCCAATCTTTGGGCGGACGTCCAACCCTTGGGCGGACGTCCAATCTTTGGGCAGACGTCCAATCTTTGGGCGGACGTCCAATCTTTGGCGAACTTCCTGCTCTTGGGCGAACGTCCACTATCAGTACATATGGCGTCGTCTATGTGGGCGTCCTTCCGTACGGCATCCGGCACCTCTAGTACATGATAATATTATTTTATACTCATATTTTTTTTATTCTCTCACTGAACGTCAAAAGAATATTCTACCAAGCGAATCTTCCTCCAATTTTATTCATAGATTAACTATCAAGTCTCTTCATGTCAACGTAATAGATTTACGCTCTTTTCCTATAAGAACAATAAATAATATATTTGATTTAAATAATTTTAAAAAATTTATCATTATCCATTTCATTTCATGTAGTCCGCCACTTAACATTTCTTGAATACCAAATTGAACTACACATATATAAAATACTGTAAAAAAGAGAGTAAAAAGTGGTTGCATTTTATGTAACATATGGTGTTAAAGTTTTAATACAATATAGTTTCTTTGTCAAATCATGACCAAGATTCTAACACGTTTACACGTTTAGATCTATGGTAGCTATCGTGATTAACAATGTTCCCATTGAAATATTTTATTTGAAAAAAAAAAGCTGACTTTAGTATACAATTATAAACCATGATGCCTAGGCAAGTTGAGTAATATTAAAATGGTGCCAACTATTGTATTTACGTAAAGACAAACACAAAAACACTCACTTCAAGTGTTCCCACTTTCGATGTTTTTTATTAGATTTCTGGGCATGCTAAACACATGCTGAGATTGTAAGTATAAATGTTAGATCGTTGAGGAACCAAGAAGTCATTCCACACCAAAAACACTTTCTCTTTGTGCTTAGAGTTTTGCGTTGTCTTGTCTTCTACCATGGATTATGGAAAGAGCTTCACCAACGAGAGTAGCAACAGTGATAGTTCAGAAAGGAAGAAGCTATCGATGAGCAGACAAATAGCGTTGGAGAAGGAGAAAGAAGACATCAACAAAATGGCTGATGCATTCATCAACAATTTCCGCAAACAGTTAAAGATTGAGAGAGAAAATTCCTTCAGACGTTTTCAGGATATGATGAACAGAGGAGCTCAATAATTACTTCACTGCCTAATAATACTCTCATTTCCTAGTTACAAAAATGTGTAGTTTGAAAAGAAAATTCAAACTTTCAATTTAATTTGTTTTCTATATAAAGTAATTTAAATTTCCTGAATTTGAATTTTGCTGTGTGAACATAATATTTGGAAAATAGCCGACTATAAAAATTTATCTTAATATTCAAGAACTTTAGTAATTAAAAAATATTAATGGGTGATGTAATTTCATTAATTTAAGTTAAGGTTATTGTTAGATTAAAGTCTATGATTTTTTTAAAAAAAATTTTTTTATCTATTTTTAAATCAATGTCACCTAAAAGATTGTCCAAACAAACATGAATCAAAAGTTTTCTCAATTTGAACAAAAGTAAAATTGTAAGACCAAAATAGCGTTGGTGGCATCAATAAAAAAATTATATGACGACACTCTAACAAATTTATATACAACTATTTGATATTTATTATTTTACCTTTCTTTATTTTGCNAAATATTAATGGGTGATGTAATTTCGTTAATTTAAGTTAAGGTTATTGTTAGATTAAAGTCTATGATTTTTTTTCGATGTGTTTTTTTATCTATTTTTAAATCAATGTCACCTAAAAGATTGTCCAAACAAACATGAATCAAAAGTTTTCTCAATTTGAACAAAAGTAAAATTGTAAGACCAAAATAGCGTTGGTGGCATCAATAAAAAAATTATATGACGACACTCTAACAAATTTATATACAACTATTTGATATTTATTATTTTACCTTTCTTTATTTTGCTAAATTACCCAATTAAAATAGATTGTCAAGTGATTGTTTGAGGTGTTAAAAAGATTATTTTTCGTCAAAAAATAATTACTACAAACATTAATAAAACAAACTCTAATTAACATTTAATAGAAAAAGTCTTGTAAGGATTGTCTAAAAACCTTTATTAACACTGATTAAGAAAACTCGAGTGATCTAAAAACATTATCGATATCATTATTGGAGGTTTCAACACTAAAAACATGGTTAATGTCGACAATGACAACTCTTACCAACTTTAATTAAAAATAATAATTCTGGCAATGTCTACTAAAAAATAATCATAATGTAGTTTAGTCTAAAAGAAACCTATCAATAGAGAAAATGATATTGAGTCAATCATATTCCAACCTCAATCATATCAAGAATGAATATAATAAAAGGAAGAGTAGCAACAATTTCAAATTTTTACAGTATGGATAACATTAAAATTCTTTAATTAAGTAATCAAATTACAGGCATTAATTTTAGATATCAAATTCTTTTGAAATTCTCTAAAGTAGACATAAACTACTTTCTAAAGAAAATCTCCATCAAACACACTATATATGTTGTGCTTTTATTCTTCTTTATGGCCACCAAACATTCAAAAGACTAGTTACATCGACATCTTTCTATTCACTTTCACAAATTTGTAGCATAAAAATAAATTTTGGTCAAAGTTGAGTCAATAAGAATTTGGCAGAAAAGAAGCAAGTGATTTTGAAAGCATACACTGAAATAAGTTTTGGCAGAAGATGGAATCTGATATGCTATTCTCCCTGCTTACTAAAATAAATGAACTTGAGCAGAGATTCAAATGTTTTTTTATGTTTTGTAATGAATCATATACAGCCCAAAAACATGTCTTACAACCTAATATATTGTAAAGAAAGGAAATGGGAAAAGGGAAATGGCACAGGCTGAGAGTGAAACAACATTTACAATATCTTTTCACTATTGATTCATGATTGTAAAGCAATGACCTCATTCTATAGCCACCAAAATCAACAATTCAACTCAGGCTTGAAGAACCTGACAATGAACGATGTGACTCTTCAAACTACCACGCCCTGCTATAGTAGACCATAAATTTCTAACTAAAGATCTCACATGACCTTTTCCAGCAATGTTTTCCCAAAGCTGAGGATTGTTTTCCACGCCTCCATTCCGACTCGAAACATCAACAAGACTAATGCTCATGTTGTTGCGTATAATGCACAGCTTTCCATTAAGAGGAACAAGAGCAGCAGCATCAAGAGCCCGAGAACTACCCAGATGGAGCCTGCTATCCATGAACTTCTTCCATGAATCAGTTGCTCTGTCATACACTTTCAGCTTGCACCCATCCTGGCAATCAAGTGCATACAGTTGTCCATTCAGGGATATGCTAGGATTACGCCAACCGTCCACCATGCCATTACTCACTGGGGTCCAGGTATCAGTTTCCTGTGCATACGATTCGCATACGACGTTGCGGTTTGATCCAAGTCCCTTCAAAAACCATGTGCCGTTATGAACAACGCCGATAAAGGGCACCATTGCTGTGGTCATCTCTGTGATAAAGCTCCACCTGTTCCTGTTGGGGTCGTAAACTTCAGCAGATCGAAGAGTTCTTTGGATTCCTTCACATTCCCCACCGGCAACATAGAGACAGTTATTTATTACACAAGAACCAAACAAATGGCGTTTTCGCAGCATATCTGGCGCTCTGTGCCATTTATTAGTACGAGCATTGTAGAAAATAACACGTCTCATAGATCCTTTCAGAGGATCTTTTCCACCAAATAAGTACAGGTGACAACCACTGAGGACTGCACAGCCAAATCCCAATGCTTCAGAATATTCCCCAGGAACAGGTGGAAGGGACTGCCACAGCTGGTAGATGGGATCAAAAGCATGCAATGAAATTCTTTTATCGCGATCTCTTTTGATGACATAAACCCATTCTTCTGCCATTCCAAGACTTCTCCTGAGTGAATAAAAGAAATTTCCAGACAGGAGACGATTCCATCTCTTGCAAACTGAACGCAGTTTACCGTGCTCAACCCGAGGTACTCGAATCAAACATGCAATAGCAAGATCATCAGGAAGACCAGGAAGAAGAGGAGGCTGAACTCTTGTCCTTTCTCTGCGTGAATTTTTGCTCCTATGAGCATTTGGGTTTATGTCAGGTTGGATGCATAATTTCGATCCAGGAACAAATTTTCTTGCCCCAGCAACTGTTTTCAAGCCTGAATCTACTTTACAGTAGCAAGAAACAGAGTCAACCTGTGAAATTCTCCATGTTAGTACGTTCAAAATATGAAAAAGATTCCACTAAAAATATGTATATGCCTAATGTCAAAGAGAACATTCGCAAGAACACAGCAAGCTTTACATATTTTCTACATCCCCTAGTTCAAGGTTCCATAGAACTGAACCGTTCTTGTACAGTTTTCTTCAGTAAAATCATAAGTTCAGACCACTAACTTAGCAATCTGCTGATTTGTCAAACATTAAATTATTATTTATTTATAGCTAGAAAAAAAAAATTCCTAGAAAGGTCAGATTAAGTATTAAAAATATTATATATGAATGCAGCCAAGGAATTTTCGATGCTGTAAGTGGGATGGTGAGATGGAAACCAGTAAGGCATTCCATCACATGCATCATACAATCATAAGACCAAGCATGGTTACATTAGCTTTTGTTAATGATTGATATAGGATTAGAAAAAAAGGAGCAGTTATGTATACATGTACTGGAATTTGACTTCACAAACTCATATTTGTGAAGAAGTAACAGTTGGAGTTCATAATCATGATTTTAGACAAATTTTAATGCAAGTTAGGGTACAATAAGTTGTAACACTGCATACAAACAGATACACCCAATCACCATTTACATGATGACATCTCAGAGTAAAGAACAATACAAATCCCATGAGTGCTGCAATTTATGTGACGAGGAGCAGGCTTGTCCAAGAGTCAAAGGAAATATCAGAAAAAGGCAGGCGCAAGAGAGGAAAACTACACACCTTAGTAACATATATTTTTCATCTGTAAGCAAGATCTCCTATTGAGATCAGAAAGATAGGAAGGCACTGTAGTCAACAATGATATTTCTAAAACGGCACAAATATAGTACCTAGTTGCAAATGTATGCATACCCCTTAAATATGGTTTGGAAGATATCACTTTTGTAAAGACATGGAAAGCTGAGTTCCATTACATTCTACCAAATCACAACATTATTGAAATAAAAAAGCTCTCTCTATGTTACATTCAGACTAATCCTCTCAACCCACATGCTCTCCTCTGTTCACTGATTCTTTTTGATGGAATGGTCTGTTCTCTGATTGCAACAACTTACAAGAAACAAAAAATCAGATCCTTGTTTACACATTGACAGTCCAGGACACACCATCGGCAATGAAAAATTCAAACAGTGTTTGTCTTTGGACAAATACTGTCATTCCTTAGGTCCAATAAACAAATGTCATAACACTTCATCTTCTACTAAACTAAAATGTTTCAATTCAAACCCTCAGGTCCAACAATCCTAAAATTTTAAAAAAGAAATAATAAAGGATATATGTGCAATACATTGGAATTGAAATACATGCAATTAACGTGCAAAAAGAAAACAAGATCAAATAAATCACTTGATTTCTGTTTTTGAAGCTTAAATAAAGGTGTTACATGTACCATTATGATCTACATATAGAATACAAATAAGAGAATATGTCAAGAGAAAACAGGAGCATAAGGATATGATCAGAGAGATATATAACACGTGTCTGAATGTGAAAATAAAGAAATAATCATTGATAAATTAACTGCAACCTGCACTTGTTACACATACATATCAAGTAAGTTATACTTCCAGAATGAGTGAGGGTACTGACAAGCAGTAATTTTCCAGGATCATAAAGGATCTGGCAAAGTGAAATAATTGATTAAACAGGATTTGAGGAAGATACTGCCCTCAGCTGAATTTTTTAATTGAAAAACAGAAAAGGGAATACCACGACCAGTGCTTTAATTTAGATACAAAGAAAGTACTAATACTAAATAATTTTACAGGGAAGAGATGAGAGAACCAAAATAAAATGGAAATATTAAACAGTTCAGAAAACTAAAGAGGAGAGAGAGAAAAAGTAGATAAGCAGAACTATATACAAGATTTGTGATAACTGATAATTTTCAAAAGTAGAGAATGACAAGGACCCCCGATTGTGATATTGATGAGCAGAAGAACTTTAAAGGATAGTATGATCAGGAAAAAGGTTGAATTATGAAACATGAATTTAATTTGTCCTCTACATGTAACCTGACAGTGTTTAATGGATAATCAAGAGGAACAAAGAAAAAGAGAAAATGAAAAAATTCATTCTACCCCACCTCCCCCCAATAAAAAAAGGGAATGTGTCCTAAATTCTCATGTTGGTTCCTCGTTCCAACAAATGTTTAAGCTTCAAACCGAATACACCTGAGAAGGCATACAAAGAAAATCCTCCTTGTTACTAATTTAGCACAATAAAAAAATTGTAACAATTTCTGTCAAGGGCATGGAGTAAGGAAGCTAACATTTCCCATTCGTAAAAACACTAGCTAAGAACAACTTGCAATTAGCAAGACCGAAAAGCTTCGACAAAAAGGTTTTGGGTTCATTCCTGCTGTGATAAACTAGTGATATTAGATCTTGGAATGGAACAACCCCATTTCCCTCCTAAACATTTAGCCTCGTATACGTGAAAAGAAATGGTAGCATTCTCAGTCAAAGGTGCCGAAAATGAATGATGGAGGTTGGCAACTCTATAAATGTTAAGCTGCGTAGAACTTCTTAGTCTAGTATATCATGCTAAGGTGGAATTAGAATCTAGGAAGCCAACACACAATGTATGTTGAGGTAGCAAGAGACTTGTAAAATCTAATTTTGACTTGGTCAGACACAAGAGCCCTAGAAATAACAGAGAGCTTTTTGACCAATTAGGTCTTTGCCTCTCTTCCAAACACGATCAGAGAATGATAGAAAGTCCGGTTAACCAAAACCTCAAACACAAAGCGGGTAAACCTTTTTATCAACACAAACATAAAAAAGCTTAAACTAAAAGAATGGAGAAAAAAGTTATCCGATTCAAAACAAGAGAACTAATTCCATAATAAAAAAGATAACAGTCAATAGGACTCACCAGCGGAGCTTGAACTCTAGAGACCCTTTGAGAATTCGTTGAGCTTTCAACTAACTGGTTCATCTCCGAAACCGAGACTTGCGTATGAATGGGTTTTTCAGCGCAAATTAAGCATCTTGGTGCAGATCAACACAGCCCCTTTTGAACCTAACCTTCAATTCCCAGAACCCGATCCAGTGCGCAGAAGAGAGAAGTTCGTGCCTTTTCCTCAGGAACTGCAACAGAATGAAAAACAAAGAAATGGGTCATTTGAGTTTGGAAGGAAGAAGCAAGAGTGATGATGTGACGAGCACCTTCTCTCACTCTCCTCTTTCACCTTTGGTTGAGAATGAGAAACCACAGGCTTAGCTTCTCAGAAATTGTGTGTTTTTTTCTTTCTTGGGTATTTGGGAAAAATTAAGTTGTTTTTTTTGTTTATTTTAATGGTAAACTGAGTGAGTTGTGTGAATTTGTGGAATTTAATATAAATTGCATAACTGTCCCAAGAGGACACATCGCTTGTGACGATGGTCCTCTTTAATTAATGTGTTGCAGTTCATGGGTCAAACCAACCCAACTTTGAAGCCAAAGATGAGAGAGAAAGAGAGAGAGAAAGAGAGAGAGATGTTCTTTTTTTCGATTTGTTGATCGCAGAAATATCATCCTTTTATGGGACTCTGAAGATTGGTCATCACATGATTCCTTAGAACACCTTTTTTGTCTTTTTCTTTAACACATTTGGGCTTTTAAGATTTTCTTTTCTTTAACTCTCCCTGTTTCGTGTTTGCATTCTGTGCTATTGCTATTTCCGATGGTTGAGTTTTTGGAGGAAAAACATTTGAATTAATTCAAATTCACCACTTTAATTTTCAAAATAAAATTTAAAAAATAGTTTTCATGCCTCATCAATAACATTATTTTGTTATTCAATTTCATCGTTTCAAAATTAGTGTAGCCATTTGTCAAAAGAAATATACTGAAACTGAATAATGCTTTAATTGAAACATTACTTTTTTTTTCTTCCTGATATATCTTATCATTAAATTCATCCTTTTTATTACTCAAAATACATTTATAAATGTAATAAATATCATTTCAGAAATATGTTTTTAAAAGCTTATATATTTATTGGTGTTATTAATGTGTTGAATAACTTTAAAAGTAAAAAGGAAGAAGTAGTTTAAGTATGAAATTTAGAATAACTATTATAAAAGTTAATAAATTTATCGCATGTGATCATTTATGATTAGATAATAGTGCAAGCCTGTTTTTTGTAATCAATGTAGTGCAATTATACTTTTAAAATTAATTAATTTCGTCCAGTATGAATTTAGAAAAAAAAATCAAACAAATTAACGAGAGAAAAATAGATTTCTCAATTTGGATTATCAAATTATTAACCTATATATTTTTAAAATAATGAATAAAAATCTAACTGATACTGATTAAGAATATATTGTTTCAGTTTAGCTTAATACAAGGAATTTTGATTCAGGAGAGATTTGATTTAAAATTTCATTTCAAATATTTATTCACAAGCTATCTCTACTCAATTTTATAAACAGGTAAAATAATTATGTTAACAGTAAATAGGGTATTGCTTCCTTCATCATCACTGTATATTTTCTCCACCTCCCCATATTATTTTAACTCAAATTATATCTTTAAGTTAAAAGATTTTTACTTTTACTCAATTTTAAATAATTTGAAACCCTAATTTTACTTTCCCAACACCCACCCACAGAATTCTTTTCCTCTTTCTTCATTTCCATTTCACCTCCCCACCTTCCCGCTTCCATTCCTTTCTTTGTTAAAGATACAAAAATTGTTAAAGCATTAAACATACAAAAATCATATATAAAAAATATATATTTTACAAAATCATTACATCTAAAAACTAATTATATACGTCCAAAATAAAAAAATATATAAACTAATATAAATATACATTATTAAAATACATCAAAAATATATTCAAAAATAATAAATCAAAACATTTAAATTTCATTATTAAAATATATCCAAAATTAATATAAAAGAATAAACTAATAAAACAAAACCTAAAATTAAAAAAAAAAGTAAACTTTAAACGGATGTGAACATCCTTCAGCGGATGTCAACATCCGTTTAAAATTTACCTTTTTTTAATTTTAGAGTTTATTCACACCTGGAGGACGCGACGCACACCAATGAGACTCGACACAACCAACACAAGTTGATCAATTCTTTCCACCACCACCAACCTTTGCAACTTTTCACGTATAACACCGAAGGAAGTATATTTTCACAGTGAAAGAAATAGAGGAAGAGAGAAAGAAGTCTAACGTTAGAATGAAAGAAAAGTTTGTTATTGGAACTAATAATAGGTCATTAGTGGGATGGGTTGGGAGTGGGTAAAAATTCAAAAATAATAACCCTAAAAATAAAATTTTACTGAAGGGCAAAATAGTAAAAGGGGGTGGAGGGAGCAAGGGTTGGTGGTGGAGGGAGCAACACCCTAGTAAATAAATTAATATTTCGATTTGTGTATAGAAAATTATTGTAAAAAACTAAAAATAGAGTATTATAGTTGATAGGTATTTTAAAATAACAAGACAAAGTGTTTTAAAGTTAAAAATAATTGAATAATATAAATAAAATTTCTAAAACTCGTCTCATTATTTAAACATAAACCATCTCTCTAAAATTCTTTCCCTTGTTCTCTCTCACTTCTCTCTAAGATATCTAACCCCTCAATTATCTGTTTGACAATCAGGAAGTTTCAACTCCTTTTTCTTTTCGTTCTTAGTTTGAGATCATGCTTAATGATCTCTTGACGCATGTGTTTTTTGATCTCATTTCCTAGTTCTTTGTTGGTCAAAGGTTCTACGGACTCTCTTTGATCATAATTTGATTTCTTGTAGGTGTTTCTAGAGTTTCTTGAGCTCTAAGGTAAGGAAAACTAGTTTTATATTTTGATAATTTAGTGTTTGAGTATGAAAAGATGTTTGGTAGTTTATGAAATTAATGCATGTTGTTGAATTTTGTTAAAAAGGTTGTTATTAGTTTTGAAGTGTTTTGGAATTTTGATTCTTGATTTAATGATGTTGGTATGCATTGCGAGTTTAGTTTGGAATTGATTCTGGTTTTGAATGTTGTTGTTGAGATGTTGAATGATGTCAAATCTGTTATAGTATTGAGGAGAAGTGGATGGGCTAATTTATAAGTCATTTCTAGGCATAAAATGGAGTGTTGATGGGTGAAAATTTGAAGTATAGGTTGTACGAGTAAAATTGAGTTTTTGGTGTTTTTCTAAGATTGTTTTAGACTGGTTGAGACCTTGAGATGGGAGAAATATGGTGTAGAAGGAAGTGGTTAATTATTGGGGTGTTTTTGCATTGTTTTTGGCTCATTTAAGGAGTTTTGAATAGTGAAATCTTAATTTAGTAGGTCTGTCCTATTATGGACAGTTTGGGGTTAGTGGTTATGTTCTTTATAACTGGTTTAGATCCTTACATGGCTAAATTATGGATTGGAAGAAGGAGAAAGGAGATTAGGTAGTTTAGAGTAGTCAAATTGGTTTGGAGAAGCTACTTTAAGTTATAAACTCGTTTTTAAATGCTACATAGTGCCTAGGAGATCATAAAAATTAGTTAAATATGTATGAGAAGTAGTTAAGGTCAAATTAGAAGTAGAAAATTTTCTGGTATGGCACCTAAGTGCCCCTCTATGGGCGCCTGAGCGCCAAGTTTCTAGTGGCATTTTTGGCACTGAGCGCCACCATTCCAGGGGCTCTGGCGCTAAGCGCTACTTTGCAAGTTTTAGTCTAAGTTGTTTCAAGATGTCTTATGATCTTTTGTTATATTATTTCTTGTGCTTTGATGGATACTTAGTGATTCATTTGATTGCTTCTAATGTTTACATGAGATTATATATATGGATGCAAAGTTGTGAAAAAGAGTTCCAAGGAGGAATTTCTTACTGATGGTTACTAAGTGATGTAAGTATGAATGTATGGAGCTAAGTATTGGGGTTTATCTTGACACTCTAATGGTCATTCATTCTCAAGTAGAGAGGGGTGAGGCATCTGGTGAGAGTAGCAAGAGGTCCTTGTCTAGGGATTTTACCTTGGCCAAAGACATTTTACAGACTAACCTTGTATAATAGCTTGGGGTAGGCCAATAGTATTATAATTACAAATGCAAAAATCGTCACAGTTCAACATTCATAGTATATCCATACGAGTCAAGTCTATGTTTACCATGTCTTTCCAGAATGTTTGATTACTTGGCTTGGAATTGTGATTATTATTAAAGTCTTAATTATTTTATTATAATTCTCTTTATACTAGCTTATCCTGATTTTTTATTTTTGTGTTTGTACTTTATTGTTTGTTTGTGCATCGACTATGATTGTCTGGTGGTTGTGAGCAAAGGGCGATGATATTTCTGTTGGGCAAGCTTTGGAGGGAGGATCAACAAATGCTTAATTTTCTTTAGATTAGTTGCAAAGTACATAGTTTAGCTTTAAATGGCTTATGGATATAAAGTTTTAAATTATGGTTATAGTAGATGATTGTAATGAAACTCTTATTCCTTGTCTTGTTGATTGTTCTATATTATTAAAATTGTGATAGCTCCTCTATAGTATTTATACTATATTTTTGGGATATTACAAATATTACTGTTAAAATGAGAAACTAAACTAATTCACAATTAAGAATAAATAAATTGGTTAATTTTCAGGAAACCAAATTCATTACATAAAAGGAAAATTTTCTTAAATCAACAAATACAAGAAGAGGATAAAGAATAACAAGAATTTTTATACTGATTCAATTCCTTAAGAATATGCATCTATTTTATCTAGTAACCTTAGTTATAATCATTAAAACAATCAATGTTAGTTTACAAGAGCTCATATGCAAACTACTCAAAGATATAAGACGCTCTTTAACAAAACATTTCAAGATACAAAAGAAAATTTACAAAATAACGACTACAATCACAAAGCACATCAACCTTTGGTGCAAATACAAACTTATAGAAGATCAAAAGACAATAAGAAAAATGTATCACCTATTTGACTGATATTGCATGATAAAAGTTTTCAAGAAAGATTTTGATCTTAGCTTTCTCAAAAATACCCTCCCTACTCGTTTTTCATGAAATCTTACATTTAGAAAGATTTTATGTTATATAATCAAATGCAACATTTGTTGTAACTACGAGGATTAATCAATTATATTAAAGATCTAATCGATTAATTAGTTCAAAATCATTTTCAAAATTGTGTGTGTTACCACATTCATCAATTAATTAATTACCCTAATTGTGAAAAGATGGTTTTAAAAAAACATAACCACAATAGAATAGATACTAGGCTTAATCAATTAAATGTGAAAGGCTTATTCTATATGGTTGAGATAATCGATTAGATACTTACCTTAATTGATTAAATGCAAAAGTTGACATATTTTAAGTTTTGATTGATTTTATGAAGATGTGATTATTCAATTAAAAACTAGGTTGTTGAAAGGCTTTATCTAATTTAGTTTGAGTTATGAAAAACATATTTATCTTTTTATGCCAATAAAAAAAGAGTTTTTTTACAAGGCTTTACTACTATGACTAAGAAATGCCTAGAACATCACCAA